ATAATAATAATAGATTGAGAGGGAGACATGAGGGGAGCATAGCAATTTTTAAGGTTATAACAACCAGCTGGCCTCTCAGCAGGACTGAGAGAGGGGGCCTGTTTCCCCTCTCCTCTCTTCTGTCATTCACCTTATAGCCTAGTCTGTATCCTAACCACACCGATCCTTTGTGTTTTAGGGTGAAGCTGGTCCTGCTGGTCAAGCTGGTCCCCCAGGATCTCGTGGCATACCTGTAAGTGGTGAAATAATTCTTTTCTTTAAAAATAAAAAAGATGTAAAACTAACAGGTTCTAAGAAGCTTGGGTATGGGAAAGCAGCATGTATTGGTCACTCCATGTGTTTTGCTGTCTCTCAACTCTAGGGTGAACGTGGTGAAGTTGGTCCCGCTGGCCCCCAGGGATTTGCTGGCCCTCCTGTAAGTATGAAGAAGAAGATTGGCTTCCTACCATTTTGTGGTGCTCTGTAGTCGTAATGCCTTTTGTCTAACATTCTCTATTGAATTCTAAAGGGTGCAGCTGGTCAACCCGGTGCCAAAGGAGAAAGAGGTCAGAGAGGACCCAAAGGTGATGTAGGACCCCAGGGTGCCATTGGTGCCGTCGGTAACGCTGGTCCTGCTGTAAGTTGATGATGCTTTACCTTAATCTGTGGTTGTATGTATAGATTTCATATATTCTTGATATCCTTTGTCTTACATTACATGGATAAATTCCTAAATCTAGAACTCGGACTGAACGCATTTGTACAGTATCAAGGAACTGTTCCAAAGAGCACAATGTATATCATTGGATAAAAGAACAGGCAGTACAAATCATTTTCTTAGTAACCCTAGAAAAGTAGTAATAGCTAAGATGCCCCCCTGGAGGAAACATTCAGAGTCATTTGAACCTTGAGCCTTTATTGAATTTTTCTCCACAGATTTTATACATAAATACAATAGGTAGTAAATGATGAATGGCAATGACTGTTTTTTCAGTGTAATTTAAATTATTTCTGCTGGTATCATTGATAACAGACAAATGTGACCGTCAGAAATACTTTTATATGAGAAATTAAGTATGATGTTACAACCTGTTATTTACCCATATCCTGGTAACACCACATGGCTAGTAATATACTATCCACCATTTTCTAAGAACGTTTATCATATGTATTGGGGGGATAGTGCTGGGTGGTAATGCAAATACCCTTTTTTGGAAAAGTGCCTGAATAGTCCTGATAAAAGTAGACCCATCAGAGCAAATAGGATTTATATAAATGTTGGTTCTTTTCATCCAAAATAGATTATTATCCCATTTTTATAGGGCACGTTACCTTCAGCAGGTTACCTTAGAAGACCACAATAGGGGCGGAACCCACTTCTTGTACGTCAATTGCATTAGTGTCAGGGATTGTCGTGGAATCGGGATTCTCTGATAGCAAGAACATTTCAGTATGTTCTTTCTCTTAACTTTTCTGTTTTTGCTTTCTTATGTTTAGGGTCCCCTTGGCGCTGCAGGTCCTGCTGGTACTCGTGGTGATTCTGGTCCACCTGTAAGTCTAGAAACATTGTATGTTTCACCCTATCCACCCACCCTGCATCTCATGTGCAGCTGTTGTTGTTCTTCATGGTTCCTAATCTCTCTCTCACTGTTATTTTATAGGGTATGACTGGCGCACCTGGTAGTGCTGGCAGACCTGGACCTCCTGGCCCTGCTGTGAGTAATTACTAAGAATGCTTCATATGTAAAATCTGATGGGTCAAAACAGACTTTCCTAACCAGGTGCCATCGAGATCTCTTGAACGATAACTTCCATCTACAACTGGTTATCATGTAACAGAACAATCTTGGAAAGCATCAGGCAGGGTTAGCATTAAGGAACAGTTAGCTCCTTCTAATTCCTCTTCACAAAGAACTACTCAAGATAACTAGCATTCCCTAGCAGTTGTTCAATAAGATCAGAAATGGTGGACAAGCATCTTTCAGCCTTCGAGAATACTGTACATCTTTCATTCTGCTACCAAACTACTCTTGCAATATCCAGCTATCATAGCAAGGGCTGCTTTGTCAAAAACCTTGGACTGAACAGAAGAATCAAGTATGAATTACACCTGAACAAATATAATAATACCCCAACACAGCTCTCATAAGTATTTACTGGCCAAGAGTAGAAGGAAAGAGTAACCTGGCTAAGGGGAGAGAATCAAGGAGAAAGGGGTTGGGTGGAAATTAAGCATCACTTACTGCTTCTGTTGTCCAAATTTTCCCCTTCTGTCACTGTTTTGAAGAGAAGAAATGAACTAGTAGTCTTAATACATGCACCTGAATTGGAGGCCTTGAACATGATCCACAGTTCTGTACTGTGTACAGAATTTCCACAGCAAAGCACCTGGATTTCCTCAGTGGATAATTCAGTGTGCTATATGTTCCTTCCATTAGAAAATGTTTTTCCAAAACAAAATTTTTTGACAGTGTATATCAATGACAAAAATCCTTTTGCTTAGTGTAGTCAATCAAACTAGAGTGGGCCCATTAAATCAGTGGGGATTTGGTGAGTTAACTCCTCTGTAAGTTCTGCTGATTCAAATCAGCCTTCTCTAACTGCAACTTACTTGAGCGTAATAAATTAGAGTAGGCCCTCTTGAATTAATAGAGCTTACAGAGAGGTTGATTCACTAAATCCCCATTGATTCAGTCAGCCTACTTTAGTGTGTTTTACTATGCTAAGCAACAGGAGTTTGGCCAATAGCTTTATCAAAGCCCTGCCCATCCTTTTTGAATTTTTGTACATAAATCCAAGGTTGTAATTGGGGGAGATGCATTAGCTCTGCAAGTTGAATATTTGCCCTCCATGCAGAGCATCCCAGTTTCGGTTCCCAGCATCTCTACATGTAAAACCACACAAAACACCACTGAGGGATGTATTCGCGAAGGCTTTCACGGCCGGGATCTAATGGTTGTTGTGGGTTTTTTGGGCTTCTTGGCCGTGTTCTGAAAGTGGTTTTTCCTAACATTTCGCCAGCACTCACCCAGTTCTGTGCTATAAACATCATCCTTCATTGGCCAAATGCCCTCCAAGTATGTTGAATTACAACTTCCATCCTCCCCAGTCAACATGACTAATGGTGAGCCATGGTCATGGATGGTGGGAGTTGTGACCCAACACATCTCAGAGGACAGTGACATTGAGGAAGGATGTTCTACTCCAAACTGATGGGTGGTAGCTGTTCAAAATCTTGTACAGGTGTCTTTCATAGCCCTGGAGGTGCAGTGAGATTTTAAAGAGCTTGGATATGTTACTTTATTCAGTTACAGCTTCCAATCTCACGGAGAACAGTAGTCCGAAAAAGTTCCATTTCCATTCTTGCAAGCATTCTATCATTGAGCTCTACCCTTTCATAATCTGGAATTTTGTTTTGTCTCATGGCCCAGACCAATAAGCCCCTGAGGTTATAATTCTTCAAACATGTTTAAACACTGACTGGGCAATTCTTTTTTTCCCCGAATGGTTGGCTTCCCTTAAAAGTGGCATATGGCGAAGATCTGTTTCTTAGCTATCATGCCTATCTCAAGATGTTGCAAGTACATCTGATAGACAAACTAAGGAAATGGGGAACTTGGGAGAAAAGTTTATAGCTTCAAGCATTGATCAAAGAAATGTCCATGACTAGTGGACTTACGTGAATAGCGAATAGTGAGTCAACTGATTGTGTGCTATATTGTTAAAAGAAAGCAAAACTGCATGGTTAAAAATCCTTCACCATTTATTTTTTATTATTATTTATTTATTTTATTTCTATCCCGCCTATCTGGTCGTACTAGACCACTCTAGGCGGCTTACAACAAACAACAACAACAAAATTTTAAAACATTACAATTTAAGAAAGATAGAAATTAAAAAGATATAGAGAGAAAATCGTCAGGAGTTTTCTGTTGGAAAGGCCCGCTTATACAACAGCGTTTTTAGTTGTTTCTTGAACATGCCCAGCGAGGGAGCCGCGCGAATCTCAGGAGGTAAGTTGTTCCAGAGGCGAGGAGCCACCGCCGAGAAGGCCCTATTTCTGGTCTTTTCCTTCCGGGCCTCTCTCGGCGTTAGGCTCCTCAGCCTCACCTCCTGGCTTGCACGAGTGACACGGGTATTTATCTTTGTCAGGCCTTTGTTGTTTCAGTTAATATTTTGTCCTCCATAATATAATTGTGTAGTCACATACATATATATTTCATTCCTAGGGTATCAGTGGCCCTCCTGGCCCCCCTGGTCCCGCTGGCAAAGAAGGCATTAGAGGGCCCCGTGGTGACACTGGACCCACTGGCCGTAGTGGTGAAACTGGTATTTCTGGGCCACCTGGTTTCCAAGGCGAGAAAGGTCCCAGTGGAGAAAGTGGTGCTGCTGTAAGTTATTCAGAACAATTTCCTAATTCCAAAGGTCACTTTTTAGGCATTCTTCTTTTTGTATTTCACAGGAACACAGGTATCAGCTAACTTGAGTTATTTGATTTGCTTTAATTACATCCCATTTGGATTACTCTAACATACTGTATGTGGGGCTGCCTTTGAAGATGGTATGGAACATTCAAGCTGGTCCAAAATGCTGCTGATGAGAACCTATTATAGGGGGCATATAAGTCCCATTACACAACCTTCATTGGTTACTGTTCACGTTCACCCCATGCCCCTGTCTCTTTTTCTCAACCCAAAGGGCTCACGTTAGTGATGTTCCCTCTTTCATTCGCTGCCACCAGTGGATTTCTTTATCCATGCTGTAAAGGACTTTAGTCTGACACAGGCTGCCAGCAATAGAACTTGTTTATTAAAGGGTATCAGGGTTATTCGGGATCACAGTTATTCTTTATTCATTTCATAGAATCAAAATCATTGAAATATTCTGCCACACCTTCAATTGCCTCCTTTAGTAGGACAGTTCATCACAAGTTTGTACTCAATCGCCTCCTTTATTTATTCACTTTAGCCAGCTTATCTTTATTAGTTACAGTTCTCACTCTATCTCTGACTACCTATCTCTCTCTGCAAAACTCTCTCCTCCTCTTCCTTCTCCCTCTCCCTCTAACTGACTTAACTGACTCTCTGCCTCCGCCCCTCCTGTCCTCTCATAGGCTTATGCAAATGAGCTCCAGCAATGAGTGACAGGCATGGCGTGGGGCATCCATCACAGTTACCAATCCAGTTCTGAGTGCAATCCAAAGTACTAGTGACGGTCTTTAAATCCATGTATAGCTTCGCTCCAGGCTGCCTAAAAGACAGAGACATTCTTGGTGGTGATAATCACTCAGGGCCTTTTCAGTGGCCATTCCCTGATTATGAACCACCCTGCCTGGGAATGCTGTGTTGTCCATTCCCTTGATGTCTTTGAGTCAGCAAACAAAACCGTGTTTCAACAGGTCTTTGGAAAATAATTACATACCAAAGCTAGCAGCTCTTAAGAAATGCTGCACTTTTTTTTGTTAATATGTCATTATTTTGAATAATTTTGGCTGTATTCTTTTCTTAACATGAAAACAGGTGTAAATATGTCTTATAATTGGACTTGTACTCTAACTATCTTGTAAGCCACCTTGTGTTAGTAGGACAGTTCATCACAAGTTTGTACTCAACCTTTGTGTATATATAGTTTTTGTATTTATATGAACTCACATCTAAGATACAGATTGGGTTAGAGTACCTTGAGAAAAAGGAATCCTGGTGGCAGACTCTGAACTTTTGGAACCACCGTGTTTCTAGTTAGGACTTTTTCCTCAGTTCAACAACTGAGTAGTACATACTCAAACCCCTTAATTAACTGCCCCTTCAACTTCTATTGATTATTTTCTTTACCTCTTCTCTGCTTGTGTGTAGTTTAATTTAGCAACATAAATGCTGCACCCTGCTCCTCAAGAACCAGAAACAGCAGAATTACGTTTCTTAGTTAAATGTTCACCAAACTCAATTGGAGAGCTTGACACACTGTGAACAAACTTGTGGTACAAACACCAAAGAAGGAAACTGCCAAACGTTTTGACTTGATGTGTTGCAATGATGCATATTTCATTGAAGTAAATGTTGTATCTCCCAGTAATGTTAATCATTATGGGTCACAACAAAAACAAAATGATACAAACAAGCAAAAACCTTCTTATGAACAAGCCAAAACTACCATTTTAAATAAGAAAAATAAAAAATATCTTGCTTTCCTAAACAGTTGCTCTACAAGGATAATTCCTTGTAAATTCCATTTCATTTATCATGTTGATAAATGAGACCAAGGGAATATTGAGAGTTGTCCTAAAAAATAACTTCTGTAAGATCTTCACCAGATGTGCACAGTTTTATGAGATGTCAAACTGAATGCTATTTATGAGCTAAGTGAACATTTAAAATATTTTCTTGTTGTTTGTTAACAAAATCATCATTAGGCCTGTTCTGCCATAAGCATGAATTCACAACCCCAAATATAACAGGAATGATAAGAAATAGAAATTAGATCATGTGGCAGTGTGTAGAAGGACTGTCTGGTTGGTCACATAAGTGGCTACGTATTAACTTGAGCTATGTCAGAAATCTCAGTAATTCTGAGATCGTACTAAATTATCAAATAGACAGGAAATGCGAGTTTGCATTTGTGACACAAATGTGGTGCTCACTAGTCTCTAAATATGATACAAATTTGTTTTCTCTCTCATACACACTTCTTTATGCAGGGTCCCCCTGGTACCCCAGGTCCTCAGGGTATTCTTGGAGCTCCCGGTATCCTTGGTCTTCCTGGCTCTAGAGGAGAACGTGGTCTCCCAGGCATTGCTGGAGCAGTTGTAAGTACAAAAATCATTCAGCCTTCCTACTAGATGACAATTGCGTTTCTCCAGAATTAAAATGACACATGCCAAGGACAGGGGTGAACTTTAGCCTGACTTAGAATAATGAAACTCCATTATTTTTATTTATAATAATGGAGCATCTGAGCAATATATCAGCTTAATAGTTGAATAATCCCTTTTACACATTGGTTATGTACGTATTCATGTTTTCGTGTGGCAAAATGGATGCCTGGGATGGAGGCCATACCTGGATGTATGCTGTACCTTTTCCCATTCAAGGACTCTGGGTCAGAAACATGGGATTCCTCCTTGGTAGTCAACCATCCAGGGATTCACCAGGCCCCTTTATCTTCAATGATACTGTTGTACAATACAACCTGGGTCCTGCAGGCAGAGTAAATAACAGTGGGAACTCTATTGCCTGTTGTTTTTTGCTTTTAGCCTGGACGAAAAGCATTGCGTCCAGTCAGGAACCATGTATAGAATCTTGTTGAACTCTGGACAGGTCAAGCCTGTCCCACATACCTTTCCTGTGGTAGCCCCAGCAGGAGCAGCATCCCTTCTCTGTTTTGCCTTTTCCCAATCTGTTACCGCTCCAGTTATGCTGAGCTACAACTCCTATAATCCTTTCGCCAGCATGGCCAACAAATGTAGAGGGTACTCAACGGCTGTGGGTCATTGTAGAAGATCTGACAGGAACTATTGATGTTAGATTAAAGTTAGAAAGTGTTCAGCTAAGTGTTAAATTGACATATATAATGTGCTGAGTATCTAATCCATTTGCTGTATAACCAACAATGAAAGGTATCTCTGCTGTTTCTGTTTTTCAGGGTGAACCTGGTCCTCTTGGTATAGCTGGCCCCCCAGGCGCCCGTGGTGCTCCTGGTCCCATTGGCTCCCCTGGCGTGAATGGTGCTCCCGGTGAAGCTGGACGTGATGTGAGTAATTCATTCTGATTTGGAAGAAGTGGGGGAATATAAATGTCTACCTACCTTCACAGCAACATTTAAAACTAGCAGTGGAAGGCTGATTCAGACATGCGTTAAAGTCAATTTGAAACTTATTGTTTAGATGGGCAAAGTGGATTGGGATTCAATAAAAGGAGGGTACTTCTAAGGCACTTCGTGAATTGAAATGTGCTTAGGGAAACATTGACAGCAATGGGCAAGATTCCACAAACTGGTGCACTTTAAATGCCATAGGTTTCAGTACCAGATAGCTAAGAACATACTTAACATTCCCAGTGAAATCAATGGCGCTTAAAGGGCTTTACCTGTGCCTACGGGTCATGTATGGATCATGTGCCTTGTGAGTAGATTGCAGTGCTTTGTCACATGCAGCCTGCACAAAACCCTCCTGTCTTGAAATGTAAATATGCCAGAAACATAGCAATCTAAAAGAATCACAAAAGCATAGAGAATAACAAAATCAGCTTGAGAAAAATTGCAGTGCCTTTAATTGGTGCCCAAAGCAGAGGAAGGTGACTGAGAGGAAACTTCTCGGGGGAAGATATTACATATTTGAGGCACTGTCACTAGGAAGGCTCTATGTCGGAAGCCACTGACCAAGACTTAAGAAGGCATGTAGTACAGTACTCAGGTCCATATGGATGCTATTGCTCACCCTTATTAGTGCACATTAGCTGGCAACTGGGTCCTCCTAAAACTTCCTATGCAATGCTTCCACCTTCAGGTTGTTGTTTAGTTGTTAAGTCATGTCCAACTCTTCATGACCCCATGGACCAGAGCATGCCAGGCCCTCCTGTCTTCCACTGCCTCCTGGAATTTGGTCAAATTCATGTTGGTTGCTTCGATGACACTGTCCAACCATCTCATCCTCTGTCGTCCCCTTCTCCTCTTGCCTTCACACTCTCCCAGCATCAGGGTCTTTTCCAGGGAGTCTTCTCTTCTCATGAGATGGCCAAAGTATTGGAGCCTCAGCT